TTTACTCTTTGTTCATATTTCACTTAAAGAGTATCAATGATAAAAATATTTATTATTTTAGGTAATATATCTTTAAATATATATTTAATATTTAGTTACGCAACAACTACAAGTACCTTTAGTTGATCAACATCGGGACCGGTGTATGATGAAAATCACCCCCCTCCTCAACCAGAAAAAGACAGAGTGATTAATGTAGAGGACTCCATTCTTACTACACTTCGGTAAATTATATATATATATATATATATATATATATATATATATATATATATATATATATATATATATAAGATATACTCATGCTTTTACTTCCATATATTCCTGTTTTGTTATTATTTTTTAACCAATCTTCTTTTGAATTTCTTTTTTTTAAGACAAAAAAATGATCGGAAGTTAAGAGCATTGGAAAAAAGATTATTTGAACCAAACGTGGTTCAGGTAGTTGCGTCCAGGGAGTTCCATGTCCTACAAAAGTTGCAGAGGAGGATGGCTGATGATATGGAACAGAGTGAGATAATAATGAATTATCTGGCAGACAAGTATGGTGAACCAGAGAAGAAACGTGTAAAATTTTCAACTCTTCAATAAGGAAAAACTATTCATGAAAACAGCGCTTTGGAACAATAGATTTACCGAACGACAAATCGTTTGAGAGTACTGGAGAATGACTTACATCACGTTTGCTGGTTAAATAATACAATAAATTTCGTAAAGAGCTTTGTAGTATTTTGTTAGTTTTGTTTCTCTTGTCTTTAAGAATTTTGAAAGACTGATATGAAACCGCCTTATATCAACCTGTACAGTATTGTTGACACACATTCGTGCGTAAATCTCGTTGGACTGCGGGTATTTATCCACATGTAGACAGGTTATAGGGCTATCTGAGTTGACGTTAGGTCTCAACAGGCATTCCATTTGATCACTTTTCTGTTTCTCATGCAAAACACTCACCACAATACACAGAGAGGCTATGAGTGTCTTTTAAATATAATAATTTAAAGATAGTTAAACAGATACCTTAATAGTATGGTTTTCTCCAAGTCTCCTTTGGATCTCGGATGTCCTTACCTCGGTTATATATGGATGAGACTAATAATGACCTTATACTGTCATTGGTACCCTCAGACTGTTTTGACCTCAAACAGTTTGCCCTTGTTGTATTGACCTTGACGATTAGCCCTCGGACTGTTTCAAACGGTTTTGACCTCAAATGTTTGTGACCTTGTATTGAGTACATGACCTACTTTATGACCTTGACTGACCTTGTGGGGTGTCTTGCCCTCGGACGTTTATGACCTTGACCTGACTTTGACCTGACCTACTTCTTGACCCTGACCTTGTGGGGGTGTGGTCCATATGACGTCACTGCCCTCAGAGACTACAGACTATACCCCTCACTACTACCGTAGAATCCCGGAACAAATTTGATATAAAGTTCTCGGGGGGTAGGGGGAACCATCTGCACGCCTGGCTTCAATCACAAAACATTATAAAGTATACGCAAGTTATTTCTGGAATGATCTTAAAATCGCCAGGTTGCTGTTGGTTACGCTGAGATTTCCAGTCGTTGAACACTTTAACTGCCCATGAAGTATTGCGGTGCTTGTTTTTACTCTCTTGATTTTTTTGGAGTGCACTTATCTCGGTAGCGGAGACGGGTTTTCCGAATCTAGTAGTGGTATTTTCAGACCATTCAGTAAAAATTTCCTGTTTTAATTCTGGAAACGCTTCTAAACACCAATTCTGAATATCAAAATTCCCAAATTCCTGGTCATTTAAATCAGATTGGCTTAGTTCGTACATCTGAACAGCCTGGCTCAACTGAAAATCATCCTCGTCATGGGATTGCTGAAAAACGGTGTTTAATTCCAATTCGTTATTCTGATTCTGAACTCCGTCTGCCATCTTCGTCAATCGTAGAACAAATGAATTGATTATCTCAACAAGAGGCCCATGGGCCTTATAGGTCACCTGAGTATCATGTAACAACATTCCAGCGATTGTATTTGGTTTGTGTTTTAATCCAAAATCCATGAAATTCACAAATTTTGAAGAAGGCACCATTGCTTATCAAAGGGCAGATTTCAAAGCATTAATTTATTTTTAGTCAAAGTACCCCCCTGGTACCCCTGACCCAGCATCCCTGAAAGTATCTATTTGAAAGAGGCCCCTTTCTTCATTATAAGGCCAGCATTTTTTTTTGTTCAGGTTTAGTTATGAACATGAGAATAAAAATGTCTCAAAGGAGAAGGAAATCAATTTTTTTTTTGATAAATCAATTATTAACATTTGTACATTCTTTTTTTTATGCTATTATAATAGGCTCCTTACCACTGGACACATAAGGCCATAATAAAAATATTCCTAGATTCTCATCCCTGCCCGCCCCGATTTTATACCCCCGCCTCGATTTTTTTTATTTCTGTATTTCTTCGTCTTAATTCTGATCGGAATCGAAATTCATCTACCTTTCTACTTTCGTTTTAAATCCGGCGAAAGTCGACTTGATTTTGACAGCTGAAAAGATAGTAATTGCTGTAATACATGCGTATATAATTCAAACAAGGGTCTTTGGTTGAAAAAGATTGGCGATGATATGAAGTAAGAGATAATTGAACCTTTACTATGACTTTTATTCGGGTATTGTAGATAAAATTACACCGATTGACCAGGTCAATAAAAAATTTGGAAAATTGAGAAAATAAAAAAAATAAAATAAAATCCGCCCGCCCGCCTCGATTTTTAAAAAAAATTCGGATGAGAATCTAGCAATTTATTTATTATGGCCTAATGCTTACAAATAGGAAAGTAAAACATTTAATTGCTTATTTCATCATCTGCCAATTTGGGCCAGTTATATAAATTTTGTAATGTTGGTCAAAATATATTTTAAAAAATCAATTCTTTAAAAGTCTTTTAACATATCTTCATTTTTTAAATATGTGTTAGGTGAATGTGTAGACATTGTTCTAAAATTTAATCCTATCATAAAACAGACAGGGGGTATTGCGGGTGTAGGGTGAACATTTTTTTAATCAAGTGTAAAATAATTTTTCTGGCTGATACAAATGATACTACATGCCTGTATATATTTGTATATTCTTGCCTTAACAATTTCTTCCTCAAATGGACTGAACTTCTCCCATAGTTTTATTCATTACATCTGATGCATAAGCAACCCTTTTCTGAAGAGTGATGCTTAGACTGTAAGCTATAACAGAGACCTAAACAATGTTGCTGCCCGCTGGCAATATGCAACAGCTACCACGGGCAGTTTAAAACCTGGGGGAGGAAAATAATTTACAGACAGATACTTTTGAAACGAATCCATAATTATCTCACCAGCATGTCATTGTGCAACAAAGTCGTCAGCATTTTATTTGTCCTATGAACAGGTGACACTATTTGAATGGCACTCGTATCGATGAATTTTACTCTAAACCAAGCTATCTTCCAGATCTCGCTTTATTTACCCGCCATCTTAAAACCGGAAGTGCGAGTTCGTAAATGTGAAATCTCGATCCCGACTCAAATTTGACATCGGAAAGAAAAAAATTGTTTTATTTTTTTCTGAACATTCAAAACCTTGAGCGGAGGTTTTGTAAAACTGAAAATAAAATAAATCCTTGCCTTAAATATGTAATTAGATCATTAGCATATCAACAAGGATGTTCAAAGAATTCATGCATTTCACTATAATATAATCATTAGAGCCCCACCCTAAAACAAGAACCCCTGACCCTGAGGCCATAAAATTCACAATTTTGGTAGAGGCACTCTTGCTCATCATAACTATGTACTTAGTTAGTTTATTTAATACCCAGGAGCAGAGGAGAAGATTTTCAAAGAATTCATGTATTTTCACTATATAATCAATAGAGCCCCGCCCTAACACCAGAACCCCTGACCCTGGGGCCATAAAATTCACAATTTTGGTAGAGGCACTCTTGCTCATCATAACTATGTACTTAGTTGGTTTATTTAATACCCAGGAGCAGAGAAGAAGATTTTCAAAGAAATAATGCATTTTCACTACCTACTTATTTAGCCCCGCCCTAGCACTAGAACCCCTGACCCCAGGGCCATGAATTTTACAATTTTGGTAGAGGACTCATTGCTCATTACAATCATGCAAACAGTTTGACTGCTTGATGTCCAGGAGTAAAGAAGAAGATTTTTAAAGATTGCATTAATTTTAGTGGTTTTGGCCCCACCCCTCAGGCCCCAGGGGGGCAGGGATCATGAAATTCACAATTTTTGTTCCCCTTCACCCATAGATGCTTTGTGCCAAATTTGGTTGAAATTGGTTCAGTGGTTGCAGAGAAGAAGCTGAAAATGTTCAAATGTTAACGCACGACGCACGACGGACGACGGACGACGACGGACAAAAACAGATAGCAATAGGTCACCTGAGTTTACTCAGGTGACCTAAAAATTGATCACGAGGTACAATACTAAGAATACTACCAAATTTGGAAATTCGTTACTTGGATACCAAAACCCTTCGCGTTAAGATTATCACGTGGTTCTGTTAAGAGTCTTTATTCAATACCAAATATGGGAAAAGGTCAAATGAATGGGTCATGGACCAAAATAAATTGATGATCTCAAATATTGGTCACGTTATACAGTATTAAGAAAATTACCTAATATGGGAATCTGTTACTTGGATGCAATGCAGTTAAGACTATCACGTGGTACTGTTTCAAAGTATTTTTATACCCCCCGCAAACAAAGTTTGGGGGGTATATAGGAATCACCTTGTCCGTCTGTCTCTCTGTCTCCGTCTGTCTGTGCAATCGTGTCCGGTCCATATCTTTTTTACAGAGAGACATTAGAATCTACTACTCCACACTAAGATTGCTCATGACCTAAGGGTGTGTCATGACCTTGACCCAAGGTCATTTGGGGAAGTTCAAGGTCACTGGAAGAAAAATTTCATAATTCGTGTCCGGTCCCTATCTTTCTTATTGATAAACATGGTAGGTTCTCATTTCACACAAAGATTGCCCATGATCCAAGGGTGTGTCATGACCTTGACCCAAGGTCATTTGGGAAAGTTCAAGGTCACTGGAAGAAAATTTTCAAAAATCATGTTTGATACATATCTTTTATGGATAAACTTGGTAGGTTCTCATTTCACACATAGATTGCCCATGACCCAAGGGTGTGTCATGACCTTGACCCAAGGTCATTTTGCAAAGTTCAAGGTCACTGGAAGAAAATTTTCATGATTCCTGTCCGGTCCATATCTTTCTGATGGATAAACTTGGTAGGATTTATTTCACACAAAGATTGCCCATGACCCAAGGGTGTGTCATGACCTTGACCCAAGGTCATTTGGGGAAGTTCAAGGTCAATGGAAGAAAAATTTCATAATTCATGTGTGATACATATCTTTCTCATGGATAAACTTGGTAGGTTCTCATTTCACTGAAAGATTGCCCATGACCCAAGGGTGTGTCATTACCTTGACCCAAGGTTATTTGGGGAAGTTCAAGGTCACTGGAATAAAAATTTCATAATTCGTGTTTGATACATATCTTTATTATGGAAAAACTTTCTTCTGAAAAACCCAGCGGGGGGGTATTTTGTCCCGTTTGGACAGTTCTAGTTTTAGTTGATGCAAATAAAACACCAAATATGGGAAAAGGTCAAATGAAGGATCAAGGGATAAATCAGTTACATGATTGACAGCTCGATGATGCATACAAAATATCGTTTCGTTATTGCAAACTCGGAGGCTAACGCCTCCTCGCGTGCAATAACTCAACGATATTTTGTATGCATCATCTCGTGTCATCATGTAACTATTACGAGTGTTAGAAAACCCTAGAAACTATTCATTGATAACTCGTGGTGACATCTCTGTTATCAAGGTAAAATATCGATATTTCAATTGATATGATAGGTGATTTATACAGTTTATTTTTCATAGTTCATACATAATCCGAAATGAGAAATCGAGGTTTAAACGATGCAACTCATCTCGGTATCGATGATGCTAACTGCACCCAAAGTCTATGCACGAAGTAGCACATTGAAATTGTCAACTGAGAAAAAAAAAGATGAAATAAAAAGAGTAGTAATCAAACTGATTTTCATTGTTTTATTATTCTTTTTTCCCCCCCAACATTAAATTCTTCTTTCATCTCCTGTAAAAAAAAAAGGTAGTTGTGAGATATAGAGTAATTCGGTGCTGATTATGAATGAATAAAACTTTTCATTCACTCATTTTGTAAACTTTCTTTTCAATTCAACATCTAAACTTTTGAAAAAAGAAGATGTATGCAGCACTGTCCATAGAAAGCACTTTATAAATTATTATGTAAAATAAGTGTTTTATTTGAAGTGTGCTGTGTGTTCAATTCATGATGCATTTCAAAACGAAGACCGAGTGTAATATTTAATTAAAAAGACAATTTATGTAGCGTCATGTCGCATGAATATAAGACTCAGTCATATATTAAAGCATAATCAAATCAGAACTGTTACTCATTGTAAAACTCATGAAAATGAAACAGGTTTAATCCACTGAATTGTAAACATGCGGTGTTATACTGAATTAAGATCAGGCTTCTGAAAATGTGACAATGTATAAAAGAGGTGTTTATCTGAATGCCCCATCTTATTAAATATGAGCTCAGCGTGAATTACCGAGTCAAAATCATATATCACGGGGTTCCGTTCCATAGCGATGTCACACCGATGATAATAATAAAATCACCTGTGTTTTAATTGATATATGACTCATAGATCGGGTTCGAGAAAACGTAACACTTCATGCATAAAAGAGGTGTTCATCTGAATGCCCTCATCTTATTAAATATGAGTTCAGTGTGAAATACCGAGTCAAATCATATATCACGGGGGTTCCGTTCAATAGCGATGTCACACCGATGATA